GTTAAATACGCTTACCATAAATTACCACTTGGCACCAGTACCTGAGTGAAGCTCCCGGACAGGCCCCCATATAACTTGTGACGGTAACGCGTTGGTGTTCGGCTGTTTAAGGCTAGGGGTATGGCCTCGTCACATAGTTATAAAAAAAAATAGAAAAAACTGGAACTTCGTCTGTGGTAAGGTAAGGAGAAGACACACAAAACACAAGTAAACTTTAACAATGAAATTTTAATTACGTTAATTAAATCAAATCATGAATAAAATGCACAAACAAATTCTTATAATAAAATCAATCAAAATAATAAGAATAATTAGATGACACAATGAAAAGTTACGTTAAGGCAAAATAACAAGAAGTGCAATACAAAGTAAATGGGAGGTGCTGGAATATTGGCTTTAAGCCACCACTTCTCTCAGTACACGCTAGCGTCTAGCCGGGAGGAGTGGTGACAACGAGAGCACTGAACATTCTGAGGTAGGAGGTTGGGGCGACCCCAGACATCAAGTAGTATGGGGGGGGCGAGTGCAGGTGCAGCCAGACCGGCGACCAATCAGCGGAGCCGGTAGCGATCAACATGTAGTTTGGTGGTTTGAGTCCGAACAGGTGGCTGGCTGCATCCGTTTTGCTCACCCTGGCAAGCCTTGCTGGTGTTGTTGTTGTTGTTGGACATGTCTTCCATAGTCGTTTTATATAATTTCAACGACGTGTTTGTGGAGGGAAGAGCAGGCTCAATCTCTTGAAGGAGATTATTGTCACATAGGTTACAGGGAATTTATTAGGTATAGCTTCGCTTTTAACTTAAACTGGTTGAGAGAGGTACAGTCTTTAACATGGTTGGGAAGGTCATTCCACATTCTGGGCCCCTTGATTTGTAGAGCATTTCTAGTTTGATTAAGTCGTACTCTAGGAATATCAAAACTGTATTTATTTCTGGTGTGATGCTCATGGGTTCTGATACAACCTTCTATGAAGCTTTTGAGATCAGGATTGGCATTATAGTTTAGCGTTTTATATATGTATAATACACATGAGAGAATGTGCAGTGACTTAATGTCTAACATATTCAGAGATTTAAGTAGGGGTACCGAGTGGTGTCTGGGGCCAGAATTGGATATTGTCCTAATAGCAGCTTTGTGTTGAGTAATTAGAGGACGTAAGTGATTTTGGGTAGTAGAGCCCCAAGCACAAATACCATAGTTGAGATATGGATAGATAAGGGAGTAATAGAGAGTCACCAGGGCAGGGCGTGAAAAGTTTATGAAAAGGCATAATTTGGGTTCTCCTATGTTCAAAATGCAGTAAATAGGTATGTTAGAAAAGTTAGAAAACTGTTGTGGGATGGTTAGTTATTGACTTGGAGGACCATCGGTAAGCCTAATAGGCTTTCACTTCCCGAAAAATCTATTAACGTTTCACTTCGAGTGATGACCGTCAGGGCAATTTCGGAAATTTATACAAAGGTCTACCATGAAATCAATTCTCTCTTAACATTACAAACGTTTTGGTTTTCTTACATATTTTGAGCAGTTACTCAACTATTTTTAAATTAAAAATGTCTTCTAGTGATGAATTTATGAGTCTTCCTTGTTTGATAATTAGTTTCGCACTTAAAGAATTCAAACAATTAGCTTAAGTGGGTTGTAAGTGAGCCGTAAGGGAGACTGTAAGTGGGCAATAAGTAGGTTCTAAGAAAGCCTGTAAGTGAAACTTCATATAGTACAGTATACATAAACCCATTATACAAGAACATAAACCCATTATACAAGAACATAAACCCATTATACAAGACAAAAATAACTACAGCACTATTGTAAACATTATCACATCTACTCACAAGATTTTTAAGTTCCTGAAAAAGCCTTAAAACAAATGTTATTATATAAACAAATTCGCTTATGTGGCGAAGGAGATCAAGAATCAGGAGCGCCAACCCACACACCCGGCCGCCACTGTGGCCAGGTCCAGACTGGCGCCACCAAACGCCCGCTTCACTTCAATTCATTTCCAATCATTTCTCCGTGAATACGCCCTCTAATGCTATATATTTGGTAACAAATGAATGAGTAATTCAAACTCCATAAACAGGTAATTTATGATACATCTACAAGTGGGTATTGCATATACAGGCTCAGAAAATTAGCACTTTTTTGTTGGGCGGAAGAAAGATTTCAAAATGAAGACGGTTACGCGGTCAGGTACTCCTGCATCAGTACCAATTATTGCCAAAACTTGACGTAATTAACCATAAATTATCCTTTAACAAAGACCTTCCTAGGCCTCTAATAATATAGAGAATATATGTTATAGTGGAAATATATGAAATAGAATTCAAATATGCAGGCAGGAAGGAGTCATAATTTAAATATGATCGTTTGGCAAATATTCCCAGAATTGAGAACTGAAAATTCTTCTAACATCTGGGCGAGGCCCTGGGGCCAGATTCACGAAAGCGCTCACGCAAGCACTTACGAACGTGTACATCTTTCCTCAATCTTTGACGGCTTTGGTTACATTTATTAAACAGTTTACAAGCGCGAAAACTTCCCATTCAACTGTTGTTATTGTTACAAACAGCCTCCTGGTGCTTCGGAGCTCATTAACTGTTTAATAATTGTAAACAAAGCCGCCAAAGATTGAGAAAAGATGGACAGGTTCGTAAATGCTTTCGTGAATCTGGCCCTTGGGCGCCTGCTGATGGCCGCCAAGCTCGGCCTGACACATAAACACAAGCTCCTGGAATCTGCTTGTTTACGGGTTATTCATGCCCGTGCCACCTCTTGTGGTGGCTTAATCTTCATCAATTAATCAATCGAATCTTGTTCAGAACATTGTATATACATCACCTTGAGAAAAGTTGCAGCTTACTTCCGAAAATTAGCTTTTTAAAACACTAAAACATAAATTAAGTCTTTCCTCCTCCGTCAAACAAGCATTTCGGCATTGTAATAGATTTCTCCATTATTTTTTCTATTATAAAAACAAATGATGTATTAGCCACGGCCTTCATATATGAATGATGTATTAGCCACGGCCTTCATATATGAATGATGTATTAGCCACGGCCTTCATATATGAATGATGTATTAGCCACGGCCTTCATATATGAATGATGTATTAGCCACGGCCTTCATATATGAATGATGTATTAGCCACGGCCTTCATATATGAATGATGTATTAGCCACGGCCTTCATATATGAATGATGTATTAGCCACGGCCTTCATATATGAATGATGTATTAGCCACGGCCTTCATATATGAATGATGTATTAGCCACGGCCTTCATATATGAATGATGTATTAGCCACGGCCTTCATATATGAGGTAGATCACAGTACAACTGAAGGTAATCAAACAATTCCTTTAACAAAAGTTATATATATTAAAGGACAGGAACATCACATTGTTTAAAACTATTAAAATATTATTATGAAAAGGAACTGGATAATAAATAAATGATACATAGTTGTTAAGAGTGCAATAGGTGGAGGGCTCGCAATATTGTACACAATACATTAGGCAGTGATGTGGTGGAGGCTGACTCCATACACAGTTTCAAGTGTAGATATGATAGAGCCCAGTAGGCTCAGGAACCTGTACACCTGTTGATTGGCAGTTGAGAGGCGGGACCAAAGAGCCAGAGCTCAACCCCCGCAAGCACAATTAGGTGAGTACAACCCATTACAACCCTGGAAACACAAACCGAAACTGTCTCTATTTTCCGCTTGTTACAACTTGTAATAAAGTTGTTACATCTTGGCTTAACGTGTTTATGACGTATTAGAACGTTGTTACAACTAGCTATATTGGTTGTTATAACTGGTTAGGAGGTGTTAAAACTTGTTCGAACGTTATACAAACGTCGTAGTTTCGGTGTGTGTTTGGCGGGAGGGGCCTGACAGCTGAGTGGACAGCGCTCGGGATTCGTAGTCCTGACGTTCCGGGTTCGATCCCCCGGTGGAGGCGGAAACAAATGGGCAGAGTTTCTTTCATGATGATGACCCCCTGTTCCTCTAGCAGTAAATAGGTACCTGGGAGTTAGACAGCTGCCACGGGCTGCTTCCTGGGGGTGTGTAACAAAAAGGAGGCCTGGTCGAGGACACTAAGAATTCATGTGTGAGATCGTCTTATTCTTTATAATACATGCAGTTTGCTTGAAGGTTCCCGCAAGCACTTGGGCTGGACGGTAGAGCGACGGTCTCGCTTCATGCAGGTCGGCGTTCGATCCCCCGACCGTCCAAGTGGTTGAGCACCAGAGTGAAAGAGTGATGCTCCATCTCCCGGCTTGTGAGTCACTCTCGAGCATGTCTACACCCGTGCCCAAACGTTTCGAACGTGAAATAACTTAAAAATCACATAAATATTTCTACGTTGTATTAACGTCGCCTCGACGTCATTTACTGAGATATACCGTTATATAGTCACTTTAAGGTATATTATATGCTGTTATATGCACTCTAGAGTAACACCAAAGCAGTGAGAAATATTTTTGTTGCACTCTGAGTCGAGCTGTTTCTTAGGTGAGACATATTTATGGCTCACTGTTGGCTTTTGTTACGAAGCCTCATCAACGTCACGTCAGCCATAACGTCATCAATGTCACGTCAACCATAGTCTCATCAACCTCACATCAACCATAGTCTCATCAACCTCACATCAACCATAGTCTCATCAACCATAACCTCATCAACCATAGCCTCATCAACCATAGCCTCATCAACCATAGACTCATCAACCATAGACTCATCAACCATAACCTCATCAACCATAGCCTCATCAACCATAGACTCATCAACCATAACCTCATCAACCATAGCCTCATCAACGCCTCATCAACCATAACCTCATCAACCATAGCCTCATCAACCATAGCCTCATCAACGCCTCATCAACCATAACCTCATCAACCATAGCCTCATCAACCATAACCTCATCAACCATAGCCTCATCAACCATAGACTCATCAACCATAACCTCATCAACGCCTCATCAACCATAACCTCATCAACCATAGACTCATCAACCATAGACTCATCAACCATAGCCTCATCAACCATAGCCTCATCAACACCTCATCAACCATAACCTCATCAACCATAGACTCATCAACCATAGACTCATCAACCATAGACTCATCAACCATAGACTCATCAACCATAACCTCATCAACCATAGACTCATCAACCATAACCTCATCAACCATAACCTCATCAACCATAGACTCATCAACCATAGCCTCATCAACGCCTCATCAACGCCACATCAAACTGCCTCTAAGCTAACCACTATTGCAGTAAACCTGGTATTCAATGGAGCAAAAACACGTGACTTGGTTGCTAGTCGTGTTGGAAGCGTCTTGTAGCTTCAGAAGTGGATGCAATCATTTCCTGAGAACAGTTGCCATATATGTACACAATATAATAATGCCCAGAGAAGTAGCTGGAGACAGGCTTCCTACCACGAAGCCTTCCTGAGGGGTTTCAAATTGAGTCTTTCACCCATTAAAAAGACTTTCTGAGGGCTTCAAATTGAGTCTTTCACCCATTAAAAAGACTTTCTGAGGGGCTTCAAATTGAGTCTTTCACCCATTAAAAAGACTTTCTGAGGGGCTTCAAATTGAGTCTTTCACCCATTAAAAAGACTTTCTGAGGGCTTCAAATTGAGTCTTTCACCCATTAAAAAGACTTTCTGAGGTGCTTCTAATTGAGTCTTTCACCCATTAAAAAGACTTTCTAAGAGCTTCAAAATCATTTTCCTACTCAATATGAAAACTTCTTGATGACTTGAAACAGGATTTCCCACTCATCAAGAAGGCTTCCCGGGGGGGGGGGGTTCAGATCGAGTCGCTCCGGTCTCTCTTCGCAGGTAGGGGGCGCGGCGCCCCCAGGTGCCTCGTTCTGGTGACTGCCGCCTAGAGGTCGTCGTGCCAGTAGTCGTACATGTAGAGGAGGAGGTCGAGGGGCTGCACGAAGCAAGGGAACTCGTACTGGCAGTCTTGGCCCCATTCTCCGTACCTCGCCGCCTTCTCCAACTCCGTCAGTTGCTCTTCAGGGACGTCGTCGGGCGGGAACCTGCGGGTGAGAGAATAAATTGATGATTACTGACACTAACTGCGTGTGTGGGGGACACCAACCACTTGGGCTGGACGGTAGAGCGACGGTCTCGCTTCTTGTAGGTCAACGTTCAATCCCCGACCGTCCAAGTGGTTGGGGCACCATTCCTTCCCTCCCCGTCCCATCCCAAATCCTTATCCTGACCCATTCCCAGTGCTATATAGTCGTAATGGTTTGGTGCTTCGTCCTGATAGTTGCCTTGCGTGTGGGGGAAGGGATTAGCTAACGACACTAAATTGAAATGTTAATTTATACTTATGCAATGACGGTGAGTGTGTTAGGTCATAGTTGGACTGGTTCTGTACGTTCCTGTGACCTACAGAACCAGTCAGTTCGGTTGATGGGGTTCTGGGAGTTCTTCTACTCCCCAAGCCCGGCCCGAGGCCAGGCTTGACTTGTGAGAGTTTGGTCCACCAGGCTGTTGCTTGGAGCGGCCCGCAGGCCCCCATATACCTGGTTGATGGGGTTCTGGGAGTTCTTCTACTCCCCAAGCCCGGCCCGAGGCCAGGCTTGACTTGTGAGAGTTTGGTCCACCAGGCTGTTGCTTGGAGCGGCCCGCAGGCCCACATATACCTGGTTGATGGGGTTCTGGGAGTTCTTCTACTGGCCAAGCCCGGCCCGAGGCCAGGCTTGACTTGTGAGAGTTTGGTCCACCAGGCTGTTGCTTGGAGCGGACCGCAGGCCCACATATACCTGGTTGATGGGGTTCTGGGAGTTCTTCTACTGGCCAAGCCCGGCCCGAGGCCAGGCTCGACTTGTGAGAGTTTGGTCCACCAGGCTGTTGCTTGGAGCGGCCCGCAGGCCCACATATACCTGGTTGATGGGGTTCTGGGAGTTCTTCTACTGCCCAAGCCCGGCCCGAGGCCAGGCTTGACTTGTGAGAGTTTGGTCCACCAGGCTGTTGCTTGGAGCGGCCCGCAGGCCCACATATACCTGGTTGAAGGGGTTCTGGGAGTTCTTCTACTCCCCAAGCCCGGCCCGAGGCCAGGCTTGACTTGTGAGAGTTTGGTCCACCAGGCTGTTGCTTGGAGCGGACCGCAGGCCCACATATACCTGGTTGATGGGGTTCTGGGAGTTCTTCTACTCCCCAAGCCCGGCCCGAGGCCAGGCTTGACTTGTGAGAGTTTGGTCCACCAGGCTGTTGCTTGGAGCGGCCCGCAGGCCCACATATACCTGGTTGATGGGGTTCTGGGAGTTCTTCTACTGGCCAAGCCCGGCCCGAGGCCAGGCTTGACTTGTGAGAGTTTGGTCCACCAGGCTGTTGCTTGGAGCGGACCGCAGGCCCACATATACCTGGTTGATGGGGTTCTGGGAGTTCTTCTACTGGCCAAGCCCGGCCCGAGGCCAGGCTCGACTTGGGAGAGTTTGGTCCACCAGGCTGTTGCTTGGAGCGGCCCGCAGGCCCACATATACCTGGTTGATGGGGTTCTGGGAGTTCTTCTACTGCCCAAGCCCGGCCCGAGGCCAGGCTTGACTTGTGAGAGTTTGGTCCACCAGGCTGTTGCTTGGAGCGGCCCGCAGGCCCACATATACCTGGTTGATGGGGTTCTGGGAGTTCTTCTACTGCCCAAGCCCGGCCCGAGGCCAGGCTTGTGAGAGTTTGGTCCACCAGGTTGTTGCTTGGAGCGGCCCGCAGGCCCACATACCCACCACAGCCGGTCCGGCACTCCTTGAAGGAAACAATCTAGTTTCCTCTTGAAGATGTCCACGGTTGTTCCTGTAATATTTCTGATGCTCGCTGGGAGGACGTTGAACAACCGTGGACCTCTGATGTTCATACAGTGTTCTCTGACTGTGCCCATGGCACCTCTGTCGGGTGTTGTGTTGACCGCAACACTGTGTTGTGTGATGTGTTGATCGCTGCGTGGTTCAGTCAAGTAGTGATCAGAAGGTTACGTGCATGGAGTAAAAACAGTTATTTATTTAACCTTCTTCTTCTCATCTTGAGATAATTTCGGGGCTTTTTTTTTTTAGTGTCCATCCCCAGGAAGCAGCCCGTGACAGCTGACTAACACCCAGGTACCTATTTTACTGCTAGGTAACAGGGGCATAGGGTGAAAGAAACTCTGCCCATTGTTTCTCGCCGGCGCCTGGGATCGAACCCAGGACCACAGGAGACCACCTTAGCTACATCTTCTTCCAGGCTTGGGTCCTTCTTTTGATTATTGCCAACGAAACCTTCTACTGTAAGGGTCGACCCTTTTTCAGTCCTCAAAACCTTGCATTTGGACCTAAACGATCGAACCCGGGGTTCCGGGTTCGATCCCCGGTGGAGGCGGAAACAAATGGCCAGAGTTTCTTTCACCCTGATGCCCCCTGTTCATCTAGCAGTAAATAGGTACCTGGGAGTTAGACAGCTGCTACGGGCTGCTTCCTGGGGATGTGTAACAAAAAAAGGAGGCCTGGTCGAGGACCGGGCCGCGGGGACGCTAAGCCCCGAAATCATCTCAAGATAACCTCAAGATAGCCTCAAGATAGCCTCAAGATAGCCTCAAGATAACCTCAAGATAACCTATTTGTTATTTCATGATTTTTAAGGGCAAACGATTCAATCAACCAACTGAACGACAGACACTAGAAACAGTGCAAAGGTAAAGCAGTACTTACGGAGCGAAGAACTTGACGGCCCAAGATAAATATCCATATTTATCCACATCACCGTAGGCGCTGCAGATGGCCAAACTGGCGCAGGTGGAGGTGTCGAGCACGTTGGGCAGGCCGGAGACGGAGTCCAAGATGACTCTAGTAAGAAAGGAATCTTGTGAGTCGCTATACGCTCTATTATAAGTGTCTTGGGATGTCGTGTAGAGAGAGATACCCATGGAAGTCATCAAGAAGAGCCCCGTCCAGGCCAGCGCGCCGAAGGACGAGGCTGTGTAGCCCGCCGCCGTGAATTCCTCCACTCCGGGCAGAGCGTAGGTGAACAGAGGCATCGTGAAGGCGATGGAGGTGTTGTAGGCGACCGCTTGGTTAAAATTGACGAAGAGTCTGCCCTTCTGGCCCTCTGGCGGGGCCTCGTACAGGTCCTTGATGGTGTCTTCCATTTTCCCGCCCGCGGCCTCTGCTACACCGCCCAACGCTGCCACGGCGGCAGCCGCCAGCACGCCCCACCCCATGGCGTCTGCAACACAGAACACGAGTCAGTAAATGCCTGCAACACAACCATTGAGGCTCTACACACTACCACCTTAAACACGATGTTTACAAAGTCAACACAACATACGGTAGCAACACATCATCAACACAATTTAATGAACCCTTCAACATCATTTGTGAAACATATTACACAAACGTTAGTGCTTGACTTTACGCTTGCATCACAGGACCCGGATCCAGGCAGTCACTAGGCGAAGGAATCCCTGAGACAGGTCCCTGAGACAGGTCCCTGAGACAGGTCCCTGAGACAGGTCCCTGAGACAGGTCCCTAAGACAGGCCCCTGAGACAGGTCCCTGAGACAGGTCCCTGAGACAGGTCCCTAAGACAGGTCCCTGAGACAGGTCCCTAAGACAGGTCCCTGAGACAGGTCTCTGAGACAGGTCCCTGAGACAGGTCTCTGAGACAGGCATCAGGGCACATTGCAGAGTTGCAGGATCATCCCTGCAACTCTGCATGCTACCGTTAACTGCCATACGAGGCAGTTAACGGTATCATGCTTGCAACATCCACACCTGCTGTGGTAGCATGCTTGCAACATCCACATTTGCTGCGGTAGCATGCTTGCAACATCCACACCTGCTGTGGTAACATGCTTGCAACATCCACACCCGCTGTGGTAGCATGCTTGCAACATCCACATCTGCTGCGGTAGCATGCTTGCAACATCCACACCTGCTGTGGTAGCATGCTTGCAACATCCACACCTGCTGTGGTAGCATGCTTGCAACATCCACACCTGCTGTGGTAGCATGCTTGCAACAGCCACACCCGCTGATGCCACTGACCTCCTCCACACACACACTAAAGAACCTGGACTTGTGATCCTGTGGTCCTGGGTTCGATCCTAGGCGCCGGTGAGAAACAATGGGCAGAGTTTCTTTCACCCTGTTACCTAGCAGTAAAATAGGTACCTGGGTGTAAGTCAGCCGTCACGGGCTGCTTCCTGGGGGTGGAGGCCTGGTCGAGGACCGGGCCGCGGGGACACTAAAGCCCCGAAATCATCTCAAGATAACCTCAAGAAGATAACTTCTCACACAAAAAACACGCGAGAAGAATAGTGAAGTGGTTGAGGAGGCACAGGGGGGGGGGGGGCGTTGCCCCTAATGGGTCAATATATGTGTGTGTGTGTTCACCTAGTTGTGTTTGCGGGGGATTGAGCTCTGCTCTTTCGGCCCGCCTCTCAACTGTCAATCAGTTAACTGTTACTTACTACTATTTCCTCAACACACACACCCAGGAAGCAGCCCGTAACAGCTGTCTATCTCTCAGGTACCTAACTGGTAGGTGAACAAGGCCATCAGGGTGAAGGAAACTCTGCTGATTTGTTTCTACCTCGGCCGGGAATCGATCCCGGACTCTTAGGATTACGACCCCCCGAGCGCTGTCCACTCAGCCATGAGGCCCCAATTATGATGAACTTTGGAGAGTTTATTTTTCAGCTTCTGCAGTGAAACACACACACACGCACACACACACACACACACACACACACACACACACACACACACACACACACACACACACACACACACATACGCACACACACGCACACATTAAAAATATTTCATCAATTTCTGATGTGATCTTTGAAACAGAAAATGGATCCATTGTACACAAGCGAGGACCAATATATATAAAGTATTATTCTTACCCCAAATTAGACTCGATTTGGTATGTTTCTATCAATAAAAGAGTTGCTATAGGTAGAGCGTAGGCATCAACCAATCAGATGCCGATACTCTGACGTGAATTACAAATGCATTTAATTCCTAACCATTTACAATGGGGTTTAATCAACGATTTTCCTGATTAACCAATATTTACCTGATTAATTGATATTTTCTGATTGCTTATATTCTTCACAAGGTATTTAAGAGATACACGAACTAGTGGAATTAAGCTAATTGTTAATCAACATATTTTAATGTTCTCACATTTTTAACAATCAATATTAAAATTATTGAGGGAGATTTGGGTCACGTTTTTTCCATAAGAGAAACTGTATTAGGAAAATATATATATATATATATATATATATATATATATATATATATATATATATATATATATATATATATATATATATATATATATATATATTTTTAGACCGAATTCCTCTAGAACTTGGGTAATATAATGTTAGTTTTAACTTATTTAAAACTTTCACGTGTAACAGATTTAGAATATTGCAAAATAAACACAATTGCGAAATTATTCGACTTATTGTCATAAATGAATTAGAGATATCGGACACGAAATGCTCTTAATAACGTAGAAGATAACTGTTAAATTTCAATATGATGGCTGGAATAAAAATGTTCAGATGAACACATTTGGTGAGGTTCCAATGAACACTGAACATAAATGTTCTATTGATCCAATATATCTTTTGTTAATGAGCTTGGTCTCCATTGGCCTCTGTCTTAGTGACTACAAGAGGCACTAGGCTGTGGTGTCTAGCCTGAAACATCCGGCACAAGGCGTAACGCACCACGACGAGGCTAGTTCAACTGAACCTGTACTCATATGAGTGGTTACTCACCAGGATACTCAGTGGTGAGTCAGGTCCGGGTGAGGCAGGGCACAAGAGGGGGGTAACACTCAGTACTCTAGTCCACTACACACTGGTGGTGGATGATCATCCTCCGCCCCTTGTTGCTCTCCAGGAGTGTGGAAATCTGTCCCCTTCCCCCCTCCCCCTTTTCTCCCCCCCCACCCCTTCCTCCCCCTTCCTTCTCCCCCTCACCCCTTATACTCCCCATTACCGCCACTCTCCCCCCCCCCCTGACCCATCTCACCTATTCAGCACCTATTCCCACCCTTGCAATTTTCTGCTTCCATGTTAACCGCCTTTTCATTAGTTCTTCGCCTCTCCTTTCTTTTATCGTCGAGTCTTTCATACTTCTACCTTTCACTGCCCTCTTCTTCTCCCTCTACGTTCCTCCTTCTATACCAGTCCAACCACTTGGGTCGGACGGTAGAGCGACGGTCTCGCTTCATGCAGGTCGGCGTTCAATCCCCCGACCGTCCACTAGTGGTTGGGCACCATTCCTTCCCTCCGTCCCATCCCAAATCCTTATCCTGACCCCTTCCCAGTGCTATATAGTTGTACTGGCTTGGCGATTTCCCCCTGATAGTTTCCTTCCCTTCCTTCTATACCAGACACCACTCCTATAACAGACACTTCTTCTATATCAGACATTCTTCCGTCTATATAACACTTTATAACACGATAGAGCGAAGGTCTCGCTTTATGCAGGTCGGAGTTCAATCCCCCGACCGTCCACAAGTGGTTGGGCACCATTCCTTCCCCCCCGTCCCATCCCAAATCCTTATTCTGACCCCTTCCGAGTGATATATAGTTATAATGGCTTGGCGCTTTCCCCTGACCTCTCCTCCTCGTTTTAAAACAGTGATTCACATGACAAGGAAGGCAACTATGAGGAGAAACTGTTAAGCCACGATATCTTCAACATAAGGAAAGGACACGAAAATAAGATAGCAGCCGGGAGAGGACATGGAAGGTGTAATGCCCAACCACTTTGACCGTTGGGGCTCGAACGAAGGCCTGACAGAGGCATCGAGGGATGAGCCAACAGCATCTAAAGAGATCTGTCAACAACATCTTGTCAAGGTATGAGTCATTCCCTTCTGATTGTCAAGAAGATTTGCTTCGTATTTAATCAGCATCTTTCCAATACGTTTGGAAAGATGTACTGGAAAGACAGAAGGCAGATTTGCACCTGTCTCAGCTGCTGTCTCATAAACTGTCTCAACAGACTTACTCGAGACATAAACTTACTGGAGATAAACTGTCATCCACAGTTCCTCTGAAATCAACATTCCATTCACTTGGGCTGTAGGAGCCTCCAACCGCTAACCCCTCGTGTGTAAGTTCGAGCTCTATCGAACAAGCCATTGAATAATCTTAATATAATGTCAGCCTAGCGGACAATCTTGTCCTAGAGCCCAGGGGGAGATTAGACATAGCCGAAGTACTACATATCAAGTAATCTCCTTTGGTCACTCGGCCAGTCAGGGCCAGCAGAGGGACACTCGGCCAGTCAGGGCCAGGAGAGGGTCACTCGGCCAGTCAGGGCCAGCAGAGGGTCACTCGGCCAATCAGGGCCAACAACGGGACACTCCGACACCTCGTGTGAAATAACCAATCGTCCTGCTCTTGCGAAACGACTTTGGTCGAGTAATTGGTACACTGTGTTCATGCTTGTTCACTGAGAAGCGGTCAACAACATTGGCAATTGAATCAAGGAACCACGAAATGTTTTGATTCAAGTTCAATGTTCTCTCTGTCTGTCTGTCTGTTCACACCTAGTTGTGCTTGCGGGGGTTGAGCTTTGGCTCTTTGCTCCCGCCTCTCAACTGTCAATCAACTGGTGTACAGGTTCCTGAGCCTATTGGGCTCTATCATATCTACACAGTATCTCTGGTATCCAACCAGGTAACATCACTGACAAACACAATGACTGAACCCTATAGGCACAGTAATTCAGTAGTTGGCATAAAGAGCCGGTCGGCCGAGGGGACAGCACGCTGGACTTGTGATCCTGTGGTCCCGGGTTCGATCCCGAGCGCCGGCGAGAAACAATGGGCAGAGTTTCTTTCACCCTATGCCCCTGTTACCTAGCAGTAAAATAGGTACCTGGGTGTTAGTCAACTGTCACGGGCTGCTTCCTGGGGGTGGAGGCCTGGTGGAGGACCGGGCCGCGGGGACACTAAAGCCCCGAAATCATCTCAAGATAACCTCAAGATATCCGGAAGACCTGGGATGCCAGGACAAGGCAGGACTGACGCTAGCCGTTAGTTTCGCGTTATTGCATGCAGGAGCGGCTCCGGCAGCATTACGTGCGTATGGCCTGAACCAGACAGGAATACATTACCTCCGGTGGGGACATTACTTGTGAAATAACAGTTCTCTACTAGAATACAACGCCACGTGTGTTATACAACATCTGTATTACTGTATATGGCAGATCTGAAATACATCCACTCAATTGCAGGGTACAGATCGTGCGGACTATCGTCGCAATACTCTTAATGTGTTAAACTCTCTCTGTATTACATTGCTTTACAGACGTAATACTGTGATTCATTTTAATATTCTGGTCACAAGGTATATTGCTACAGTACCAGGCGAGGCCCCGCCTCTTAAACAATATTTTATATTATATATATATATATATATATATATATATATATATATATATATATATATATATATATATATATATATATATATATGCGAACAAGCCTGAATGGTCCCCAGGACAATATGCTTAATATAAGTTTTCTTGTATATATATATACAAGTTTTCATGAATTAATTGTTTTTCGACTACCTAACCTACCTAACCTAACCTAACCTAACTTTTTCGTCTACCTAACCCAACCTAACCAATAAAGATAGGTTAGGTTAGGTTAGGTAGGGTTGGTTAGGTTCGGTCATATATCTACGTTAATTTTAACTTCAATAAAAAAAAACTGACCTCGTACATAATGAAATGGGTAGCTTTATCATTTCATAAGAAAAAAATTAGAGAAAATATATTAATTCAGGAAAACTTGGCTTATTAGGCAAATCGGGCCTTGCATAGTAAGCTGAGAAGTGCGTTCTGGCTACTAGGTACGACATATATATATATATATATATATATATATATATATATATATATATATATATATATATATATATATATATATATATATATATATAGCTATATATATATATATATATATATATATATAGCTATATATATATATATATAGCTATATATATATATAGCTATATATATATATATATATATATATATATATATATATATATATAGCTATATATATATATATATATATATATATATATTGTACAAGTGGGGGCTACCGGAGCAGAACCTCTCTGGGTGGCTGAATCTGTGGTCCATAAAGCAGCCATGTCTTTCCAACAGGATCAGCAGCTGGGTTCACAGGACTAAAACCCAACCACCTCAAGCAAATGCTCAATCCTGCACTGGGTGACATTGCAAAGAACCTCTTAGTGGAACTAACCAGATTCACCAACACATGTCTAGCTGGCAACATACCAGCGTCCATAAGACCTATCTTTTTTGGAGCATCTCTCTGTGCTCTAAAGAAAAAGGATGGAGGGATCAGGCCAATAGCTGTGGGCAATTCTCTCCGGCGTCTCGTCGCAAAGGCAGCTGCAAGAACAGTTAGTGATGCAGCGGCCAACATGCTGAAGCCAAAACAGCTCGGGTTTGGCATTCCACAAGGGTGTGAGGCGGCAGCCCATGCAGCTCGAGCCTTCATCGCCAACATCACAGACGAAAAGGCCCTTATCAAGCTAGATTTCAAAAATGCCTTCAATTTGGTGCGGAGGGATGCTGTACTCCGTGCGGTTCATAGTCATTTCCCTTCCCTCTACCCTTTTGTACATTCATGCTACAGTATGGATCTTAAGCTACTTTTTGGCGAACATGAAATTGACTCGCGAGAAGGCGTCCAACAGGGTGACCCCCTTGCTCCTCTCCTTTTCTGTTTAGTCATCAAACAAGTCACAGAGGTCCTGTCCTTAACATCTGGTTCTTGGATGATGGTACCCTAGCTGGTTCCCAAGACTCCCTCCTGGAGGACATCAGAAAAATCCAGGAGCAAGGTGCAGTTTTAGGCCTCACCCTGAACCCTTCTAAATGTGAAATAATATGTTCCAACCAGGGCATCGTAGAGAGAATAGAGGGTCTTCTGCCAAATATCCATAAAACTAAACCTGAAGACAGCACACTCCTAGGAGCTCCCCTGGGGTTGAAAGCCATCGATGAGGTCCTTGATAAGAAAATCGCCGACCTTAAGAGGATGGATGGGAGGATTGAGGATATTGATGCTCATGATGCACTCTACCTCATCACCAGATGTCTGTCCCTCCCCAGGTTAACCTTCTTTCTGAGGTGTTCACCATCTTACAGTAGCCAAAAACTAAGTGAGTATGACCGGTTACTGAAATCAATGCTAGAAAAAGCCCTTAACCTCTCTCTCGATGACCTACAGTGGAAACAAGCCTCTCTTCCCGTAAGACTTGGGGGCCTCGGAGTTCGAACAGCAACGCAAATCGCTGTTCCAGCCTTCCTGTCCTCCTTATCAGCATCCGACGACCTTGTGAAGGAAATTCTACCTGCCCACTTACATCAGCTGGCAGGTGTACATGATCCCAATTTTACACGCTGTGCCACAGAGTGGGCCTCTCGTGCAGGCCAATCACCTCAACCACCATCCCCAAAATCCCACAAGCAATCCAGCTGGGATGGTCCCATTGTAGACCAAGTTGCTGCAGAGTGCCTGGGTGCTGCAACAACACAACACGACATTGCTCGCCTCACAGCAGTAGCAGCACCACATGCAGGGGATTTCCTGTTAGCAACCCCAATGTCGGCAACTGGCACGCGTCTCACACCACACGCCCTCCGAATTGCTGTGGCCCTCCGCCTTGCTGCCCCAATCCACACCAGATATAGGTGTATTTGCGGCGAGGTGGTGGCTGACAGGTACGGTCACCATGGCCTACTCTGCCAAAGCACAGGGGGATGGCACTCGAGGCACAGTGAAGTTAACGACATCATC